AAGATGGGAAGAATAAGATAGAAATAAATGAAATGTGTTTTCCCTTCTTTCCTTTCCCCTACCCCTCCCACTTTCCCTACCCCTTTAGACCTTGTCTTCCTATTTCACATTATCAATTATACATTTTGATCCTTATTTACACTTTTAGTTTCTCACACTAAAGAAACTATTCGGTATTTACACGTCTGTCCTATTTATTTCACTTAAGAGTATGGCCTCAGCGTGCACCCATTTAGCTATAAATGTCTCTAGTTTCTCATTCTTTATGGCTGAGTAGTACTCCAGTTTATAAAAAAAAAACCCATATCTTCTTTATCCAGTTTCCAGTTGATGGGCGCTTGGGCTGTTTCCAAGCTTTAGCTATTACAAACTGTGCCGCTATAAACATGGATGTGCATGAAAGAAGAGAAAGGAAAAAATATGAAAAAAGGAAAAAATGAAAACCAAGTCTTTGTAAATAAGGAGGGGTGGAGGGGTTGAAGGGAGGACAGGGGAATGGGGAAAAAAATAAGAACCAAGATACATCAAGTAAAGGTACAAGTTCCCAGTGATGAGTGTAACTGTATAATATACTTAAAAATGTACCAATAAACTTAATGAAAAAAAAGGAAATAAATAAAATGTGTTACCTATAGAGAAGGTGAGGAAATGAGTGAAAAGGGTGAGTGCTGGGGGGTAGAGAATGACACTTTTCTGAATACACTTCTTGTTGTTTTTATTTTGAGGATCATATTAATATTTCACATATTTTAAAAATCTGATTGTATTATAAATGAACAGCATTATCATACTGAGATAGGGAAAAAATTTAAAATTAACACAAGTAACTTTTGCCCTCAATTCTTGACTATATTCTATCAGGGTAAAAGACAAAAAGAACTATAAATTAGTATTAAACTCTAGTGAGTTGTCTTATTTCCTACAGATAAATGTGTTAGCAATTTGGGAGCCACATTTGTGTAATATAGAAATTAATGTGAGTACATGAATAAATATATTCAGGATAAAGGAAGCCAGGTTTCCTACTGTTGAAGAAAACAAATATATGAAACAAGGAAAGTCCAAGTATCTCAATAGTGTGGATTAGAGCCTTAGATATTTGTATTCACTAATGGGTTTATTAAATATATATTAGCATTTAATAAGTATATATGTGTTAACATACAGTATATGTACATCTGAAATATGTGCATGTCTTCCTGTAAACACCCGTGTTGGCTGAAAGGATTGGAAACAATGATACTCCAGTAGAAATTAGCATGTCTAATGCTTGTTTAAATATCACTTCTCCATAAAAAGAACCAGTATTTTTCAAAGAAATGACCAATGTCATGACAAGAATCAGAGAAGGCACAACATGAGCCTGGACTATCTTATTATGCCAGAAAAAAGAAATTATTTTAAAAATGATGGGTAAATATCAAAAGACTCAGAATCCTACTAGCTAAGTCTTAGAAATGCAATTACCAAAAATAAATAATATACATTTTAACCTATTTAATAAGGTAAGAATCTCTGAGTCCACACTGATGTAAATTACTTAGTAAATAAATGTGTAAATGAGGAGAAAGGCAAGCTTTTCTTTGCAGTAGGATGCTAGTTAATAAATGATGATTAGTAATTGTGAACAAAATAATGGAGTTAGAAAATCACCATTTTGCAACTATTACAATAATAATCAGTTTAGGTAAGACCCATGAATGTATGATAAGCTTGTAGTTAACATTTGATAAGGAGCAAGTTATTAATAGCTTCATAGTATCTCCCCATAGATTACTTATTGGTACTTATTGGTGGATATCACTTTAAAGAAATTATTAAATTATCATTAATGACAATGGGGCCAAGCGATATCATGTGCTTCTTAATTTTATACATGAAGAAGAGCTTAGCATCGTTGCTTCTGTGATATTCATGCCTCAAATCTGTAACACAAATCTAATCGAAGGGAAAGAAAAGACAAAACTAATGGAGGGATAGCCGCCTAAGAAAATGGCTTATGCTCTTCAAAAATGTCAAGGTTATGGGAGTCAATGGAAGAATTTGGGAACTGTTCTTCTAGTGGGGTAAGACTCAGGCTGAGTCCAAAGGCCCAAGAAGAAGGAGTACATGCCAGAGCCCACAATAATGATTATGCCCAAAATACGCTGTAAGTAATGCAGACTGCAAAGAGTTAAATCCCTCCATTGGGTTACTTTAAGGAGCGAGTCTGACTGAAGCTACGTGACTCACAGAAGTATCTCACAAGCAGTGAGGTAGCACGTAGGTTAATATGACCTCCCTGCTAAGGGCCACGGCTGAGACCAGAGTAATGGCTTGTGAAGCTGTGGGCTAATGCAAGATAATGTGCATCCTAAGGTCAGAGTAAATCGTACCCAAATTCCATTCCCACAATTACTGCCTTCGTAGCTTGAAGGACAATGCTCTAATTACAACCATGTATTTTGTCTATCTTGCTTCTAATTTGAAAATGCTTTGACTCTTCTCTTTAAAGCCTTGCCTGCATTAGTTTCCATGGTAATTACTTATATTGCACCTTTTACCCTGATTGATGAATAATAAAATTCGCTGGAAGAGATGGGCCAGTGCCTTTTGCCAAAGGAGTATTGGCTGTCCCAGTTCACTCTTTCTCTTTAACATTGTCTTAAGTTTTTCTTCAACCTTCCGTTGCTTACTGGGCAGGTGGGGACTAGAGGCTTACTGCAGGAGTCTCTGGCAAGTGCAGATGTCTAAGGATGTGAAAAAACATCCTTTTAAAGAAGAGAGCAAATTCATCCTTTCTCCACCATTTTGTTCTGGTCAGGCCCTCAAGGGATTAAATGATGCCCACCTCAATGGAGAAGGCAATGTTCTTTTACTCAGTCTACTGACTCAAATGCTAATTTCTTCCAGAAACATCCTTAGACACACCCACCTGTATGAGCATCTCTTACTGTAGTTGTTGACATATAAAATTAAGCATCATGGAGACAGAACATGTAATGATTTGGAAAAAATTAAGTCATCCTGCAAGGAATTACATAGACTCTAGCTTAGGCTAAAATATGAGAATGGTATGCCAAATGCATATAGAGATCAGGAAGTCCTAGAAAGAACTAGAAACCCTTAACTCTTTAAATAAAGATTGTTACTGAGTGGAATACAACTGAATTGAGCAATAGAAGACTTGAGTGCATAGTGAATATTAGACTTGAGCGATATTTACTGAACTTGGCTGAACCACATATGTCCTAATTGTTTATAGAGCTCCCACTATCTATAAATGGCCACAGGATTAAGCATTAGGGAGCCAAATTGTTAGGGGGGATATGAGAAGTAAACTGGTTAAACATGGAACCAGAGGGCTTTGGCCCAAACATTTATGAATGAGGAAGCTGATGCCCACAGTAAGGCTGGACTGGTGCAGTGTTACACAGCCAGTTTGTGGCACAGCAAAGAGAAATACCTGCTTGAAAAGGTTTGCCTTTTAGGTGCACCATTCCTTTTTACCACCATTATTATGCTCATTTTACAACAAAGAGATTGGGGATCAAACAGAGTAACTGGCTTAAGGTCACAGCTACTAAATGGCAGAACAAAGACTCCTACATTATGACCCAGTCTGCATATAAGCAGATTTAGTGGTGGAAAGATTTTGATGGTGCACTGAAATCTTAATTTCTTTGCTTTCTATTTAGAACTAATTCCATTCTCCCAAGCTACAAACACTAAGTCTCTCATTGCTTGTAGAACCAATTAATGAGTTAAATTGCATCAAGTTTTGTGTTTTTTTGTACTGGGGATTGAACTCAGGACCTTGTGCATGTGAGGCAGGCACCAGACCCACTGAGCTAAATCCCCGGCCCTACATCAAGTTAATAGTCAGCAGTTCCTTGTTGCAATTAGAGTTCAGCCTGCTGTTTTCATCACATCTGTGGGACTGTACCAGATTTCCTCTCTAGCTCATTGATCTGCCTGCTTTTGCCTCCTAAAGGTGCTATGCTGAATATCAATGCTGCAGCAACCTGGTAGTTTTTGTGTTTTCTGAATTATTTACCCCAAAGCCATAGGGTATCAAATGCCTTTGGGTCTATAACTCTTTTCTCTTTGGTTCCAGTCTCTGTTCATCTGGTTGTCTCTTTGTTCATTTAGCGGATATTTGTTGTGAATTGCAAGTCTACTGGATTTCAAACTCTGGACTGGTAATGGATATACAGATGTCTTTTCCTCTAATGAGATTATAGTCTAATTTGGAGGCTAGACATGCAAGCATTTAAAATGCAATAAAGACAATGTTCATGAAGAAATGTGCCAAGCCCCTAATAAGGATCACAGGGAGAAATGCAGGAGCTGCCTCACACAGGGCATTGTTTATCCTGCTGATAGATAGCAACTTTTATTCTGTAGAGAAACTAAAGAATTTTAAGCAGCCTGCTTAAAAATTAGGATTGGCTTTATGCTTAAAGAAATTCACTCTGTGGGGAGTGGAATAAAGGAGGTGATAGTGAAGGTATGGGACCAGTGTAGAGACTGTTAAATTCCAGTGAAAAGAGACAAAAAGTCTGAAGTGGGCAGAGAAATAAGAATGGTAGAGGTGAGAGAACAATGTGTGAGACATTTAAGAGATGGCAAGATGAGATTTAGTTACCAATTAAATATGCAGACTTAGGAAGAAAGTTTAGGATAACATCAGATTCTTTTTTCTTGCAATTATGAGTCTATTGGTTCAAGTGATAGAAGAAAATTTGGAGGTGGAAAAGAGGCATGATAAGTTTGGTATTTGGCTTAAGTTTGACCTCAGTAAGTGGTGATTCTCAAGAAATGTTTGTGTACAGGAGGAGCGAGGTCTGGGTAGAGATTTAGATATTCTTACTTCCCTCTTTCCCTTCCTCTCTTGCTCCTTCTCTACCTCCCTCCTTCTCTTCCCCTTCTTTTTCCCTTCCTTTCTTTCCCTCCAGCCCTTTCTTTCTTTTTTGGCCTTTTTTTTCTTAAAAGAAAGAAACTTAAAAATACTTTTTTTCAGAGAAAAGAAGTGGAGAATGAAGGCTGAAGACAGAGGAAAAGGAAGAAAAATATTCTAGTGTGAAATTCTGGAGCAAGAGGGCCTGTGATAAGGTAGGAGGCAGGTTGTTCATTGTTCATATATAACTCTGTCTCTTCTGAATTGGTTCTTATCTTCTACTTTTGTTCTGCCCCTGCATTTCTGCACAAATGATAGTGTGACATAAAGGCTGGTGAGTGTATATGTTCACCTGTGCATGTGAGGTGTGTACAGAAGTATTCATGGTTGCACCTAGGCACATAGCTTGAAGATCCTCAAATTGTTTCATTTAAATGCCATTGGTACCATTTCTAGGTTATAACTTTGCAGAGGGGCAGAAAGGACATCCTCATAGGAAGGAGTCTGACCTCCAAGAAAAAGATATGGCCTTGTCTCTTAACCTGTGTATCTTCTCAGAACAGGATAGATTTGATCAGTATGGCATGGGTTTCCTAATCTCCTGAAGGTGGACAATGAATGGGTTGGGGGGATATTCTTAAGATGAGAAAAATCAAGGGCTTCCTCACAGAGGGTACAGAGGAAAAAATAGCATTGAGTGCTCTTGACCTAACTGTCCTAGCGGGTACCAAAGAGGCACAGCGGGCTGGGGCTCTGACCCAGTTTTCCCTTGGGCATCCCATTGGAAACAGCTGCTTACTGAGCGACTGGGTTCTTTCCAAAGAACAGTGAAGAACAGTAGTTTGGGGTAGGTGGGGGTGGAGGCTGGCTGGGTAAGAAAATCAAAAGCAAATGTAGGCCCTATGGCCTATCAGTTCCAGTACCAGAGAAGCTTTTATCTAAAAGTATAGGATGATCTATCTTGAATATGGGAAGGAAAAAGAGAAAAAAATTTAAAACTACTAAGTAAACTGGAACACTTCTTCACCATCCCCTTAGATAAACAGACTATCTTCTACATTGTGATGGGAAACTAGTCTGATCTTGCCCTAGCTACTGAGAAACACGGCAGCAGGCTCAGACTTAGTGCTGGGATTGTCTGATGTGAATATTTTGATGGGAGCCCTATTTTCACAGATTTGACTACAGGGAGTCCTCAAGAAATCTTTTCTCTGCCCTTTCATTTCTGAAACCTCTTCAACAGTTACTCAGGTTCTGGGTATGTGGCAGCACTCCTCAGCACACTCCACTCAGACCTACACACATCGGAACTGCTGGATTCACCCAGAAAGCATCACCCAGCTGGCTCCCAAGTCATATTTTCCCACCTAGATTTCTATGGGTGTCCATAAAGTCCGGAAACATAGATAAGGTTATTTTAGTTTTACAGATTGAAAATGTTTTTGGCCACATAATATATATTTGGCTATATTTCAGATGAATGAAGGTGATCAATGAGATTTATTGCTGGTGGGGAATAAATTATTTTGTCAAAAATGTATCTTTTCACTTACTCTGCCAAGCAAATAATATGTTTAAAGGCACATTAGGTGTGAGACACCATAGAGGATACAGATGTGCCTAAGATACACTCCCCTCCAGTCATTACACAGAAATAATGCACTTTCGCAGATAATCTAAGGCAGAACATGTGTATGTCTCTCTAGACATAGGGCTCTGTAGGCAAAGTATGAAGAATGTCCAGGTTAGGGCTCTTTTACTTTATCGGTGGCAAAAACCCAACTCTAACATAAGCAAAAAGGGAATTATTTACTTAATTTATTGATAGTAAACAGAATTAATTGCTGCTTTTTTCAGCTGTTAAGCCCCAAAGGAGATCTGGCTTCAGATGCAGATATAACCTGAGAATTGTGATGTTATCTGGACTCTGCATGAGAATGAAAAATACATACAGTGCAGAGCCTAGAGCTGAAAAATAGACCAGTTCTCTCTAGGAGCTAAGTACTTAGTAGAGTTCCTCCTCTCCATCTCCCATCTGTCAAACCTCTGAGAAGACACTGATTGCCCCTGCATGAGTACTTCACTAACTCTGGACCAACCCTTCCTTCTTGAAGTGGAGCAATTTAATTGGCCCATGTTAATAGAATGAGGAAGAAGTGAACTCCTCAGAAAAGGGCTGGTCCCCTAGAAGCCGCATATGCGGGAATGGTTATGAGTCAATAGATAAGAGAGTACGGAGATAGGGTGAAGAATGTGGAGGTCTCTACAGAAAGAAAGGAAACGGGATGATGGAATTTGGACAACCATGTACCAATCACAGAATTGACTGTGAATTTGGTGTTCATGGAGAGGAACAGGGCCACAGAGGGTGGAGGGGAAGGTGGAGATCCCTGGAGGCCAGCTAAAGAGTCTGCTCTTTGGGGAGAACATGTGGAACAATTAGAATTATTTAGCAATGGATTAGGGCCAGGAAAATAAATCTTGCTTCACAGTATTGAGTGGGTTGAGATGGGAGAAATGGAGAGGTAAATGCTGGAGGAATCTATTCCAGTGATTGAGGTGAAGGATGATGGGAGAGGGTCTGAAATGGAAGGTGGCAGCAAGACTGGAAAGGAAGAACACATTGACGCCAGGCTGTGTCCAGCTGAACATGGAGACAGAGGGAAGACAGAGTCCCATGATGCTGAAGTTTCTTGCCTGGGGAACTGGCAGTGAGCAGTATAGCTGTTTATTTACTTCTGTCATTTTTTATGGATGTGTGCAGCAAAAGATGTTTCCATTAAAAGTTATTGTGTTAGTTAGCTTTCCACTACTGTAAAAATATATTTGAGATAATCAGCTTATGAGGAGGAAAGATTTATTTTGGCTCATGGTTTTAGAAGTTTCTGTCCACTGTTGCTTGGCCCTGTTCCTTTAGGCTCGTGGCAGCACAGTACATTATGGTGGAATGCATGGCAGAAGAGGTCTGTTCACCTCATGATGGCTAGAAAGCAAAGAGAAAGGGGCCCAAGATTCCAATATCCCTTCAAGGTCTGCTCCTAGTGACTGACATCCTTCCACATATGGGCCCTACCACCTAAGATTCTGTTACCCCCCAGGGCTGCCATGTTTGGGAACCAAGACCTGAACTCATGAGCCTTTGGAAGCCACTCAACATCCAAACAATAGCAGTTACAAAGAGCATTGTTTATACGTAAGGACTGAGTTTTTGATGCTCTTATCCTGGTCAGGTTCTCTGCAGATGGAGAGAACCTCATTGTCCCTGAGTTGGACTGCCATTCACACAATAAGCAGACCATATGGCATCTTCTCATTCAAATGACTTTCTGTAGCTGCTTGCCTGTCTGCTCTGGAATAGATAGGAGCAAAATCAATGTTGCTTCTAGTTGTCTCCCAGTATTGGAAAAATGTTGATGAGCTGAGTCTGATTCTTGGCGAAAAGTTTCCATTTTACACCTGAGAAAGGGAAGTCCGTTGAGAATACAGTATTAGTTACTGACTTTAAAGAAAGTTAAAGGCAGCTACTAAAATTTCTGTCAGATCACATTATAATAATAAATTAATTGGATTTGAGCAGCCAACCTTCAATGAATATAAACATTAGGGTGTTCAATTTATACTTTTCATTGACTCCAGGAAATGAAGGGCTGTTTTAATAGCTATTTAATATCTCTGCCATCTTCCACAACTCTATTGCCACAATTTCTGTTGGACTGGGAGAAAAAGTATGCATGTAGGTTAGGGGGAGCTCTCCTGTGTCTCCACGGAAGTACGGCAGGGCTTAGTTAAGTGGGACTGTGCTGACAGATGGGGAGCGAGTCAGAGGAAGACATGACGTGCGGGTAAGGACAGAGAGCTTGATTGGGAGAGAGGTGAAAACAGTGACTGGCTTGCTCTGTACTGCCAACACCCAGAGATGCGGTCCGATAAAAGGGTGTGGAAGGACGTGGGCTCTGGGGGAGGGGGTTGTTGTTTTTGTGGCTCACCTGGGCTGGATCAGTGAGGAGCTGAGGAAAACATAAGCCAGAGAGAAAACGCCTGATGGATAAACCAGTTAGAGACAGGATTGTCCACTAAGAGGTGGGAGGAAGCAGAGCCGTGTTGGGGCTAGAGAGAGATGAACTCTAAGTCCTGAAGAGCATCATGGGTAGAAGAAAGAACACTGATCTGAGGACCAGTGGCTGGGAAGGCTATTTACACCCCATTCCCTAATCTAAAGGGTTTGCCAAAATCATTCCATTCGCTGCTTTTCCTGTAGGTAAGGGTGGCACCAAACCCACAGAGAGACTTGGTGTGTGGATTGAAACATTATTCCACCTTCCCATTACTCTTTTCAGGAATAGGACACCTTATTCAAGCTCTTCTTGTTCCCACTTCTTTGCCTATCATATCTTTTAAGGTAACCTTAGTCTCACCTTGGCCACAGGGACTTCCTCTACGACCTTGGGTCAAGGCCTTCTATCTCCACTAGACTTTTTTCTAGTCCTCCTCTTATTCAGCCTTGAATTAAACTCATTTGTGTATTTGTGTAATCCCTGTTGCCTAGTAAAAGCTCTGCATATATGTGAGCAAATAAATGCTGCCTATTTCATGCCACCTTGTGTAGTGTTTGGTTGCTATTCTGGTTATTTTTACCAGTCACACTTGTTAAGGGCATGCCTTTGTTCTGTGCCATCATTTCATTTACAATTCACAAAAACATGAAAAGTTAGTTTCTATTATTCTCTAATTTTGTTAGATAACAAGTGTAATTGTAGTTGTTTTTGTTGTTGCCAACAGATTGAAGGCAAGGTGTTCTGTATTGCGGGGGGGGATATTGAACATGCCTTCCTCATTCCTGATGTTTCCTTCCAGGTGAACAGTGCCCCACTGAGATTATGCTCTTGGCTTCTCTTCCTCTGTGGACTGCTCCCTGGGAGGGAAGACCTCATTAGGTGAATTTGGAAGGGAAACTGTGACCCAGTCCCCTCTCATTCCCCTTCCTCTTGGAGTGAACCCATGCATGGAAAACACACGCTCTGTCCTGTTCTTAGAGGTCCTGAAGTTTTCAGAGACAGAATCTGTCTTGCAGGAGAGGCTGCTCCAGTCCAGCCTGTGGACAACTCTTCTGGATGGTTAATTTTTCTGGGATTTACCAGTAGAAATCCCATTTATCCAATCTTAATTAAAGTACATTCACTATGTTTAACAGTAAAAATGTAATATTTTGTTCTCCATCTGCCTTATTCTCCTCATTTACTTCTAGCCTCACTGTCAGCTCTCTCCTTAGAAGAGTGAGGCTGAGATGAAGGTTGTGTGTGTGCCTGTGACCTCACATGTGTACTTGTGACTTGTGTGTAGTTGAGTCAAGAATGAACAGGAAGGAGGCCCGGAGAGTGAGGTGGGCTTGGGGAGTCTGGTGAAGATCTTGGATGAAGAGGGTCACTGTGCACGTGCACTGACTCTGTGCAGGAGGAGTGGGGCAGCCAAGGAAGGACTGGCTTGGCTGAGATACAGAGGCAGGTTATGCTGATGTGGTGGAAGAGTGCTGATCGAGGACTGACTTGCCACTGCTGTTTCCGCTTATCCTTCAGCAAAGCCCACACTACTTTGAGGGATTTTGTCTCATCTGATTAGATCCTTTCCAGGCTGGGGAAAAAAGTCTGAGGCCTTGGTGACAGGGCCAGCTGTAAGCTCAAGGAAGAAGACCCCTACACTCAGAAGGATTTTGAAATCAAGCCCTGGTTGGCATCCCATTTTGGTTTGTTCTTGGAAGACAGAAGCAAACCAAAGGTTGGATGGCCAGAAGAACTTTGGCTGAGTTTTCCCATTTCTTTAATGAGACAAGGCTGCAGGAATGAAGAGGAAACTTGGGCAAAGGTGAGGTCTTTGCGGTACATTGTAGACCCTAATGGAACACCAAAGGAGACAGAGTGACATGTTGGCAAAGAGCTATAGTCAGACTGAATGGAACTGAATCTACTGGATCTATCTTCATTTAAAATTTTGATATTTTGTTCATCATGGATTTTTGAATTTGTTTTGATTTTTCAACAAATGCATTAAAATATTTTTTCTCTTGATTGCTGAGTTTTTCAGTCATCTTTCAAATTTTGTGCCTAAAATACCTGACTAGTGGTTCACCACACTTAGTGCTATTGACTTTGGTTCTTAGAATTGAGGGTCTTCATTCTGTAAGCATCAGACTCTTCAATGGGAAAATGGGAAAAATCCTAATACCCTCCACATAATCTGTGCTGAGAGTGAAATGTCCTGATACATATGCCCCATTTTCTTCAACAGTCCTAGTCATTGCAAGCACCCAGTTAATGTTAGCCATTGTTCTTGGTGTTGCTGTCGTTGCTTGAATTACTAAGGGTCTCTACCTGGAGAGGGAAACTTCTAGATAAGAAGCTCTTCATGGAAGGGCTGGGGAACAGCTCTGCTGGGAGCCTCAGTTTTCTAGGGCAGGGTGTGAGGTGCTTCTGCAGAGACTTGGGCCCAAGTATAAAGAGAGACAACCTCCATAAGCCCTTTCAGAAAATGCCAATGGTATAACTCCTCTTTAAAGACGCCACAATTTACCCCAATAGCTTTCCCTTTCAGAACTTGTTTAACATTTCAAACAAAAATAAATAACTGTAGTGTTTATGGAAACCTAAGACTGAAATTCAGATAGTTTTGGGGAAAGCCCAGTGGAAGCAGGCCAGAGGGGGTTCAGAGGACACCCTTTCTTTGATATCAGTAGCTTTGAGCTTCCAACGTCAGTTCTTCCTGAGGTACCCATGCATTTCTCCCCCAGCAATCCCTCTGCTGACAAGCAGAATGCATGCGCGCGCACACACACACACACACACACACAAGCATGCACACACTTCCATCCAAATGAGAGATACACACTCCAGATACAGTCTCACATTTCTCTCTTTCCAGATATGCTTCCACTCACTTTCTCCTTTACTTTCCTGGCTATTTTTTTAAACACAAAATTTCATTAGCTTATCCTGATAAGGTGGTGTACATTACTTTAATTCCATTCCTGTGAAGTTTTTGGCCTTGATCTTCACTCTGGTCAGACCTAGTTATACTTGTGTTTATGTGGACAAAGCGTTCCTGAGCCAAGTTTTCAGGGAGCTGAAGAGTGGGCAGAAGACCTGAGGGAAAACTTTGACTTAATACTTTGCCTAGATCTGCCTGTCATTATGTTGGATATATGGAGACCACTTTATTTCACCCCTTCCCTTTATAAAACTCTTTTTTGCCCACATGTATCACTTTTCCAGACTCCATCATAGGTGAGAGGCTTTGCAAGAAGTACTGTTTAGGAGAGTGGAGGAAATGGATGAAAATGTAAGGATTTCTTCAAAGTTCATGCACCATTTTTTATCCTTTCCAGCAAGGACAGCCCAGTAGGTCAAGGCATTGTCAGAAGTCCTGGTGTCCAGAAGCTTTGGGCACCTCCATGGTAAAGGGATTATGATGCTGGTGACAGCAAGTCCTGGAAACCCTAGATTGCCTCTACCTACTTCTTCTGGTCTCAGAAAGGCTGGCTGACAATCCACAAGCAACCATCCCCCTGCTGTGGGAAGTGGTTCAGATCAAAGGAATGAAGAGGGTTCTTGTCTCTTAAGCACAGGGCCCAACACAGAGCCTCAGGAAGCACTGAAGAGCCTGTGTGCAGATTTAGAAAACAGTGACTTTACCTTTGGAAGAGCCAGGGCCAATCCTTAAAATATGTTGTGCACCTGGAAAAAGCAGAATTTTCTCTCATTCAGGCTTAAGTGGTGACCAGTGACCTTGAGAAATTACCTTTCTTGCCTCTCCATTTTTCATCTCTAAATTGGGAACTCTACCTCACAAAGCTGTAAGCACTAAATTCCATCAAGTTATTTTTTGAAGAACATAGTACAGGGCAAGCAGAGTGCTGTCATGTACAGATACTTTCCTTTCTTTCTTTGCCCTCTTTGAATATCTGCTACAATGGCTATAGAGAAAAGGGATACAATGCATGACTTTTGGTGTTATCTGAACAATGATGTACCATGAACATATCACCTTATACAACTGACAGAGTGAAAATACACATGTGTATGTGTGTGCATGTGGCCACTGTACAAAGTATCCCTTCCCAGATTTCCAGACTTACATCAATTCCTGTATTTCCTGCTTTCATATTCCCTCCATCTCTCAGCCACTAGTACAGAGTGGGACATATTTCTCATTAAACTTGGTCATAAATTTGTTATGCCCCATCTTTGTCCTGGTTTGAGCCCTTTACCTCCAAGTCCATTAAATACATGGACCAATAGTCTAAGGGAATCAAGTACAGGGGATGATCTTTACTCCTCCGTCCCTTTAGGCCTGATCCATCTTTCATATACTCCAGAGAGAGGTCTTCCCTGCACAAGACACCAGAAGCTCAGGACATGGTCCATTTTTTCCTATTTCTACTTATTAATTTTTTTTGTCTTTAAGGTGCTGTGATTGGACTTGGGGCCTTGCACATGTAGGAAATTGCTCTATCTCTGAACTACATACCAGCCATGGGCCTGGCCCTTTTCTTCACCCAGCTTACAGAAGTGAATGGCAGCTGGAGAGAAATGCAAAAAAAAAAAAAAAATGTCTATAGTCAAAGGGTGCCTTGGAAAATATTTCAAAGAGAACCTGGAATTTATTGTGATGTTTGGAAAGTAACATGTGGATCGGGCATGGATAGATATGTCTAAAGAAGCAGCAGGCATAGGAAACAACTGGTTGCAGCAATGGTTTCTCATGCTGCCTGCATCTTTAATTTCCATCAGCAACCCTGGGGCCTTGGAAGATCAGGCTGGAGGGAGAGCTGTTTCACAGGATGGCTCCCTTGGCCCCTCTAGCCTGGCACTCTGCCTCTTCTTACTCTGATTTCTCTCCCGGAGGCTGCCTCTGAACTGCTGATGGCCTCCTTTGCCTGCTGCTTATGACTGTGGGTAAAGGGAGTGATGGTAGAGGGTCTCTTTCTTAGTTCCCTCTACACCAGGCTGCAGGCATAGAGGCTATTTCTCAGCTGAATGCTTCTGACAGCAGCTCTCGCTTATAGCCAAGGTGTTATAGTTTTTCCCACTCCTATCCCTTTGGGCCCAAGAGTGGTGATGGCTCCGTGTGTTGGATATCATCAGAGCAGAGGACCTTGTTATTCCTTAATGCTGCCTTGCCTGGCAAATAACCCCTTCCTTAAACCTCAGCCATGTCACAGTTTATACACCCATAGTTCAGACAGGAGTTGTGGTTGATGTAGATGCTTTAAGGCCATGCTGTGGAGGCTACTAAATGACAAGGTGATGGAACTGGAGGTGGTACATGGTGAGTCACGTCTTATAGCTCCAAGCTATGTTCTGAGCACAGTAATGGGTACTTAGTACACACTGACTAACCAAGCCTATGAAGAGCTGAAAACTCCTAAGGCTGAGATTTTAAAAACTCATCTACTTAGGGGGCATAATCTAGGTCAAGGAGGCTCTGTAGACAGGGTGCAAGCTGACAGCATGGCAGCTGACAAAGCAGATGCTGCTCCTCTTGAGGCAAGTGGCCAGCTCAATCATGGTCATGCCTAGAATAAGCCCTGGGTAATTCTGTCCTCTATCATGGCTGGCTTGACTCAGCACTACTGGGGAGCCATAGAACATTCCTTATTAGCATTTATGAGGTCATTGCACACTTCTGAGAACAACGCCAGCAAGGGGAGCTAAATTCCCTTACAGCAGCCTTCTTCATTTTGCTTTTGAAAACAATACTGTGCTTCAAATAAAAGCCTAACTTACAGAATTCAGATGTGTTCAAGAAGCTCCCTGATTTTGCTGTCTTATCTTCCTTTAGGACAACGTTGGGAATGAGCAAAATGTCACAGGGGTAGAAAACCTTTCCCTGACTTGCTTCCAGTTCTTGCTTTTTGGTGGAGCTAGTGCACCTGGGGGTCTGGTTTTGGTGGAAGGAGCCGAGGACATAGCATCTGAAGGTCCCATCTAACCTCCAAGCTTCCTTGCTCACTAACTTTGTAGTTTGGGGGCCTTTTCTCAATCTCTCTGAGTTTTGCTTCTCTTGTTTACAAAATGGGAATGAGGAACAAATCTAGCTGACTGTTTTCTTTCAATAGAGACATAAATGGCAGCTGAACCAGAAAAGGGAGAAGGAGAAATGGAAATCAGCGAAAGTAAGAATTTTCTTGTGGAATCAAATCTTCCTCCAGCACATACGAAGATCTCCCTGTGAGACAGCCAAGAGAATACCTGTGTACTCTTAGCCAGTAGTTATGTGTGACATAGTACAGGGTAATAGTGCCAGAAAGGCATGGTTATTTGATACAGCTTTGCCAGTGAGTACAAACTTACACTGAGCACACAACTCCCTCTCCTCCCAGATCACTTCCTGTGCAGAGAATGATGGAGCTGCTGTTCTTACCACCCATTGGCCTTTCATTCTGGCCACCTCCTTCCTAGAATTCCACAGTTCCCACTTATCAGAGTCTTCCCAATAAAACGAACTCTATAACATATATAGCAACTATGCACCAAAGCCTTCATGTAGTTCTTTTGTCATTCTTCAATAGCTCTTAAAAGTAGATGTTTTGCCCTCTTTTTTTCCCATTAACTTTACTGGTACACTTTAGGTATAGTATACAGTACAGTTACATTCATCATTGGCATCTTGTACCTTTACATGATGTATCTTGGTTCTTATTTTTTCTCCATTCCCCTGCCCTCCCTTCACCCATTCCACCCTTCCCTATTTACTAAGACTTTAGGTGGGAAGTGCAGACTGGTGCAACCACTGTGGAAATTAATATGGAGATACCTTAAACAACTAGGACTGGAAGTCCCATTTGACCCAGCTATTCCCCTGCTGGGTATCTTCCCCAAAGAATTAAAAGAATCATACCATAGTGATATATGTGCACCCATGTTTATAGCGCCACAGTTTATAATAGCTAAAACTTGCAAACAGCCCAATTGCCCATCAACTGGAGACTGAATAAAGAAAATGTGTTTTTTTAAATAAAAGGGAGTACTACTCAGGAGTAAAGAATGAGAAACTAGAGACATTTATAGCT